CTTGTTTTTTTGCAAAAAAAAAAAAAAAAGAAACAAGAAAATAATTTGTATTCTCGTATTGATATATTCAATGATTGATTTTATACGATATTTTTTTTCTGTTTTAAATTTGAGAATTCTTATTCGTACTTACTTGAATTTTTTTACGGTTTTCTCTTTTTCAATGTATTCGCATATATATTTCACTATCTATCCCGAAATAAAAATTCCTTTTAATGAATGAATCTTCGTATTATATTTATATGTTGAAATCATGCAAATCCGCGATAAAACATGATATTGGATATTATCATTTGTCTAATCAAGGTTACAGTTTTTTTTTTCGTTTATCAACACGTTTGGATAAACAGAAGCGAAAAAATGTTTATAAATACATTATAACTATTATAAATGATTGTTATACAACTAAAGTCAATTAAATGACGCGAGTAAAATTATTCAATTTAATAAGAAATTGAGAGTGAATCATTTTTTTTTTAATTTCTTAATAAATGAAGAAAACAAAGAAGAACAAGAATGTGAGTTATATTTATTAGAACATTGTTTTGTGCTACTACTACGTAATTCATATTATTTCTTACGAAATTTTTTTATAATTTTTAACCGTTTCTAAAAAAATATCTTATAGACTAGTTTTTATAGTTATACAACTGTATTCGATTACACATGAATATACATAATGTAGATCAAAAACACTTGCCGATCAATTAATTGCTTGACATGTCGCTGACATATTAAAACTACGAGAATCAAATTAGTTTAAAATAATATATAACAAATATATAATTAAATTATATTTAATCTTTAATCGTAAGATAAGTTACATTTTCTCATCAGCTTGAAACGTTGGATCAATCAGATCAAACCGATCAGAAGATCGGCGGGAATATGAAATTTTATCGTGTAAGATGATATCGCAATAAATAACAAAGAAAGATGACACAAACAAAGAACATATGAAGAAAAGAAAAAAATGTTTAAAAAATGACCAAAAAAAAAAATACTTACCACCAAGCAAAGCTTCGAGATTTCCATGACTCGGACTCATGAGATTTTTCGGAACTGGAAGTTTGGTGACGAGACATTTAATTGCCAATCGCCATCTACTTGCTTCCCTTAGATTATCTTCATACTTGTCAAAACTACGAAATCTTAGTGTAATTGTTGTTCTCTCACGCCTACGTATTCCCTTCATTCGTACTTTTTTGAGCGTATAAGCATATATATAAAGATAGGCAGAGGTGTCGTATTCGTCTATAGATGTTGGATAAGCATCCATAGACTCGACCAATTTGAGCTGCATTCTTGAGGCACCTGGACGGCAGGCACAACTTCCGGCTGCACTCCTACGTTTCGATCTCATACACCTGCACCCAATAATATCATTTAACGGAATTGTTTCGATCTTCGTCGAGCCATTACTATCTTTTTGTAAGCTCAACCCTTTTTCCGTAAGCTTTACTTTGTAATAAGTATTTTTTTTCGATGTCACGTAGAAGGTCTCCTCGAGAACAGCACTCGACGTTACCTGACTCTCTTCATCCATCTCGAGAGTACAACATATGTGTTATAAGTATTTGTATGTATGTATGTTTTTATGTATATAGATAAGATTTGATAGATAGAATAGATCTTTTAAGATAAGATTTTCTTTTATCTTTTTTTTTCTTTTTTTTCAACGAGTTTGGAGGATAACTGACAGATAATATGCGTCACTCATGTTATTTTCATCCTTTTGTAATGATTTACTTCCTACGAATAGGGCAATCGATCAAGAAAACAACATTCTTCTTGTGATATTCATAAGCGTCATGGTATTGTCCTTCTTCTTCCTCTTTCTTTTCTATGTTCCTTGTCTTTTACCTTATACACACATAGGTCGAGTTTAATAGCTTTAACTCTTGAGCAACAACAACGTTCTTTCTTGATTTCCTTTTTGAACGGGCTCAACGAGCGTTCTTACTCGTGCTTTAATGTTGCTGTTACGACTGCTACTACCTACTGCAACTGCTGCTGCTGTTGCAGATTATGATATTGGACGAGTTGAACGCGACAATCGTAGCCCGTGAGAACAGAAAAAAGTGGGAGAACGGGGATATGGAGATAGAAGCGCGAATTATATGATCGAGTTTTTAAGTGTCGAAGGGAAGCACGTGCTGTACAAGAACAAATATCTAGATCTTCTTTTTCTACTCTTATTCTTCTTCAAACGGCTGTCCTCTATTCTGTTAATTGTAAAAGAGGAACGTGAATAAGTACTTGTCTTCTTCTGCAGCAAAAACAACCACCTAGTTCTCGTACCGCGAAAATGGATTTAATTGGTGACGTCTTACTTTGATCAAATTGTTGACAAACAGTTATAAATCAACTTTATCTACTATTATTGTTTTTTAATAATCTCACTATCACTACCTTTTTATGTCAACTTTATATCAAAGTGACACGCGTTACATTATTTAAATGAATGATGTACCTCTTAACCCTTCGTTTTACTGTCACAACAGTCACAAACAAACCAACATCCGACCACTAACTGAGCTTGGCCCAGACTACCCTCCGTAATCATTTACATCACTTTAAGGTTACTCATAACGCCACCAAGTACCATCGATCGAAACTTTCTTTATCTTTTTCTAACGTTAAAACATTAATTATATTTTATCTTATCTTTCTAAGTGTTCTGTTTTCCTTTTTGATTTCTTTTTAATCTCCTTCGACTTTCATTTTTATTCTGAACATTAAATACATAATGCTTATTCTTTCAAATTAGTTACATTTACATCCTTTGATAATTTCTCAAAAGATAACGTGTTTTGAAATTCAAATATTATAGTTCCATATTCTTCCCATAGAGTGTGTTAATCAACTGATTTGACTTAAGTTGTGGTCGATAATATAGTTTCCTATATTTAATATCTTGCGCAAATTTTAAATGTTATAAGTCATTGAACCTTATTATTTATTACAATTAATTTATATTTAAATAATATATGAAACTTTCTGTTCATATAGTAATAATTAAAATATTAAATTCATATTGCTATGATTCTATCTTCGTGTTTTAAAGTTCCCATTTTGGGAACCACTGCTCTACATCTTCCTTTCTTTCATGTCGCGTTAGTAATTCTGTAGTGGTTTCTTTTCCGGTTTTTCATAATGGTAAGACGATATTAAGATTCTCTTTTCTTTCGAAAACTTAACGAAATCTCTCATTTATGCAAAAATTGAAAAAATATATAATTCTTCTGCAGATACAAAAAAGATAGCTTAATTTAACGATAACTATTTTTATTCCAGGGGATCGATATTAACCACAAACACGATAGAAAGGTTCGACGAACCGAACCAAAATCCCAAGATGTTTATTTACGACTTCTTGTAAAAGTAAGTCATTCTTTTTATTTGTTTTTGTCGAGAAGAGTCTCTCCATTTTCTTATATTAAACCTCTAACTGAAGTTTTATTTTTTTTTTGAAACCTTGACAATGCTTTTTTAGAAGTGAGGTTATCTTTTTTGTAAGGTTATGCGAATAGCACTCTGTGTTAGTCTTATACAATTATAGACTAATTCAATTTTGTAAATTCGCTATAGAAATTAGTCAGCTTTCCTATTCTGTCTTTTCGTTTAAAAGAAAAGGCAATTATACTAGTTGATACATGGATACACAGTACATAATTATATATTGTACAATTGAAAACAATTGTTGATTGTCAAGATCTTTTAAAGATGCTTTTCTTTATATTYTAGCTCTACCGATTCCTGGCACGTAGGACGAACTCAAAGTTCAATCAAATCATTCTGAGACGTCTGTTTATGAGCAGGATTCATCGACCTCCGATTTCTTTAGCACGTGTTGTTAGATTTATGAAGAAACCTGGTCATGAAAACTGTATTGCAGTTATTGTTGGAACTGTTACAGATGATTCCAGGATCTTTGAAGTTCCAAAATTAACAGTAAGATTTGTACAATACATWTAGTCATTGAAATTTACATATATGTAGTTTATTTCTATAGAATTTAATTAATAACATATGCTTATTTTGTATCTTAGGTTTGTGCACTACGTATTACTGAAAAAGCTAGAGGCCGCATCTTGAAAGCTGGTGGTGAAATAATTACATTTGATCAGTTAGCTCTTCGTGCTCCTCTTGGGAAAAAGACAGTTTTAATGCAAGGTAGACGTAATGCACGTGAGGCTGTGAAACACTTTGGATTGGCACCAGGTGTTCCACACTCTCATACCAAACCATTAGTACGTTCAAAGGGTAGGAAGTTTGAAAGAGCCAGAGGCCGTAGGCGTAGTTGTGGTTATAAGAAGTAAATTGTTCTTTTAAATAATTGTAATATAAAATAAATCATAAAATCAATTCTTTTAATTATTTTGTTTATTTACAATCATAATTAGTAGTAGTTTTAAGAAATATAACAAAAGAAACACTCATCAAAGAAATCTCGAAACACTTTTTTATTATGATACTCTTGTGGGATAAATCGGCAAATAAATTTATGTTTACTTTATTTTTTAAATATTTTATCATTTAATAATTATAATGTGAAGTTATAGATAAATATATTGCGTAATTAATGCTATAGTCTTATACTTTAAATAGTCGTCTTTTGAGAAATCATGTTTTATATAATTATTTTTTAAAATAATTAATTATAGTATATAATAACATTTTTTTAATGTTTCCTAAATACGTCCAGTTATTTCATGTAACATATAAGTTTTTCATAAATTAACTGAATTATATATATTAGTGGTAACATGTAAATACAAACCAATAGTGTATGAAATATACTATAGAGTGCGTAACTGAACTAATTCATCTATGGTTGTAAATGCAGTCCCTTCAATCAACATGATTCGTAAAATTTTTAAATATTGATTTTTGATTAATTTATAAAAAATAAATAAAAATTGTAATTCCTAATATAAAATTATGTTATCAAAAAATAAAATTTGTATTAATAAAGTTTACAGGTAAATCATAATTTTAAAAGTTCGTCTTTAGCGCCCTCTACACAGCAGGTTGTTCATTTAGTTCTAGATACATCTGAGCGTACTTTCTCTTCCGGATTATCAAAATGGTGAGTTCACGTGAATATTTTATATTCTTAATAAAATCAAACAAAATGTCTCATTTGTGTAAAAATCGAAACAAAATATAACTCTTTTATAAATGTTGAATAAGAAAGCCTAATTTAACGATAACTATTTTTATTCCAGGGGATTGATATTAATCACAAACACGATAGAAAGGTTCGACGAACCGAACCAAAATCTCAAGATGTTTATTTACGACTTCTTGTAAAAGTAAGTCATTCTTTTTATTTGTTTTTGTCGAGAAGAGTCTCTCCATTTTCTTATATTAAACCTCTAACTGAAGTTTTATTTTTTTTTTTGAAACCTTGACAATGCTTTTTTAGAAGTGAGGTTATCTTTTTTGTAAGGTTATGCGAATAGCACTCTGTGTTAGTCTTATACAATTATAGACTAATTCAATTTTGTAAATTCGCTATAGAAATTAGTCAGCTTTCCTATTCTGTCTTTTCGTTTAAAAGAAAAGGCAATTATACTAGTTGATACATGGATACACAGTACATAATTATATATTGTACAATTGAAAACAATTGTTGATTGTCAAGATCTTTTAAAGATGCTTTTCTTTATATTTTAGCTCTACCGATTCCTGGCACGTAGGACGAACTCAAAGTTCAATCAAATCATTCTGAGACGTCTGTTTATGAGCAGGATTCATCGACCTCCGATTTCTTTAGCACGTGTTGTTAGATTTATGAAGAAACCTGGTCATGAAAACTGTATTGCAGTTATTGTTGGAACTGTTACAGATGATTCCAGGATCTTTGAAGTTCCAAAATTAACAGTAAGATTTGTACAATACATATAGTCATTGAAATTTACATATATGTAGTTTATTTCTATAGAATTTAATTAATAACATATGCTTATTTTGTATCTTAGGTTTGTGCACTACGTATTACTGAAAAAGCTAGAGGCCGCATCTTGAAAGCTGGTGGTGAAATAATTACATTTGATCAGTTAGCTCTTCGTGCTCCTCTTGGGAAAAAGACAGTTTTAATGCAAGGTAGACGTAATGCACGTGAGGCTGTGAAACACTTTGGATTGGCACCAGGTGTTCCACACTCTCATACCAAACCATTAGTACGTTCAAAGGGTAGGAAGTTTGAAAGAGCCAGAGGCCGTAGGCGTAGTTGTGGTTATAAGAAGTAAACTCTTAAATGTATGCCATCATTTATTGTGCCATTGAACTTATGGAAAATAAATGCTGGTTTTACACGTTTTTATAATTTTTGTTATCTTTTCCTTTTTCACAATAATTTAATTAATGTTTTCTGTCGTCACTGCATCATCTATTACTTCTTCTAGTTTATCTTCATCATCAGACTGTATTTCTTCCAAAGCACTAACATTTGGAAAGTATAATTTCGATTCTTCGTTTGCACTTTCATGATTATCACTAACATAAAATGGACCAATGCCAGCAAATGCTAAAAAGGCTTCGCGTCCTATCTTTTTTACAGTACATATAAATACTTCATAACTGTAAGGAAAAATATGAAATCTCTTAGTAGTCTTATAGTTTTGAGTATATAACATTAAATTTTTTAAAATGTACCCTGTTTTTTCTTCAATATTAGATTCGAAATCTTCAATTGATTTTGCTATCATTTTAATATTTGAAAGTTTATCACACTCAAAAACTCCAAAATCTACGACTTCATCGTTGTACATTTCTAAAACCATTTTTAATTCGTTCTTCCTCGTACTGTCGTATTTAAAAATAATTATTGGTTCATTTTTTGACTTATCTTCATACTGTGAAATTTTGTTTAATGGTTAAATTAATTTTTTTGATATTTAAATATTTCAAATCGCGTACTTACTTACTGGATATGTAGTATCTGTATATTTACTGAAAATCAAACGAAATACGGTTGCCTTGTTTCTAGCATTAGGTGGAGTCCAGACAATAGGAAATGGATCATTTTCCATTTCTGGTGATATTACACCCGGTCGATGTCGACCACAATATCTATTAAACAAATAATCTTATTGTCAAAAACATTCATTTTCTATCGAAATCTGAGATAAATAACTATTACGGTAAGAAAGATTTAAAATATAGTTATTCCTTATTAAGAATTATTTATATTTTACATTTCATCCGTGAAGCATTGATCTGTTGAAGGTAACACTGGTTCTCCAAACAGTAAAGTAATCAAATGTTGATGAACGTCCATTTCATTTGTAGATTCATTTCTTCTTAAACGCATAAGCATACATTTACCGTCTAAAATCAATTGTCTTGCACGATCCGTGAGTACATAATCAGACTAAAAAGAAGAAATTATTTACTTGTGATTTGTGTAATCTTAAAAATTTATAAAAAAAAATATTAAAGTTGAAAAGAAAATACCTCGTGAAACATTTTATCAAGGATATCTTCATTCAATCGTTTTCGTATCTCTTGTTCAATAATATAATTTCCTGGCAATATTTCTTCAACTAATTCCACGTATGGTGGGCTACATTTTTTATCTCTTTTATGACCTTCTTCGTCCTTAAATATCCATGGATATAATAAGAGACAAGTTTCATCAATTAACGAGTTAATTAAATGATTCATTTCTGCTTCATATTTTGCTTTAGTTTCTGCTTCTATAAGAGATTCATTATAGGCGTAAATAATTATTTATAATAAAAATTTATTTAATTGTAATAATGGATATCAATGCATTTGCAAATACCTTTTTGAGCTTTCTTTTCTGCTTCTTTAAGTATTCGAGCTTCTTCAGCTATTCGCATTCGTGTATTTTCTTCCGGGCTACATTCGTTTACAGATATACAGAATCTATAATTTAAAAATAAATATAGAAATAAGATATTAATATAAAATACGTAATATACAAACTTACTCCGGTTCATCCCCATTTTGAATTCTTTGAAATTCCGTGGTCAACATTTTGACCAATTGTGGACAATGTGCGCCGAACATTAAATTAATCATCATACCATCCTGTGAAAATATTAATATAAATATTTATTATCTCATTTTTTTCAATGAAATTAACTAAACACATTTATTTACACGAATAAACATCCAAATAGGTTCGCTTTTTTCTTTAAAACGTTGAAGATCCGTAATGTTATCGCACCTTGCCTGTAAAATTATTCATTAGTGTTTCAATCGTTATTAAAAACTTCATTGATAATAAAAATAGATGAAATTACCGTAGCATAACTTAACGCGTCCCCACCAATTTCCATTTTAAGTTTTTTTAAAGTGCTCACCATACCCGTACATGGTCCACTCCATGCAGCATAAATATCAACCACTGTAAAAGAAAAAAGTAATAACAATACTAGAGATTTTTTTTTATTCAAGTAATAGTACTTTCCTAACAAGCCTTTTTTAGTTAAAATTTGAGCCCATTCATCGTCATTAGTAACATCAGTTTGAAGTGCAGTAGGTATTGTTTTCTTAGCCATTCTTTTAATACCTTTTCCGGCACCCTGTACAATGAATAACATTTTTAACGTTATTAAATAAAATTAAAGAAATAATAAAGAAAATAATAATCAAATTAAATTTTTACCCTTTTACGGCGTAACATTTTGAAAAAAGTTATGCAAGATGTAATAATTTGTATATTTGATTATAATTATTTGATTTGTTTTATTCAATAACAGTTGATTAAACTATTATATGATTATTTATGAAAGATTTCTTAAGGAATACTGTCCTGTACGAAGCTACAAGGATAAGTAAGTCTTATTCAACAACAAGGATAAATAGGTAGGAACTCTAATAGGTTTATTTATTAGCAATTTTACTATCATTATATCAGAGGGAACTTTAAGGGCTATTAGTATAACGTCATTATGGAGATGTCGGTGACAGTGAGGACACGCAAACTATTCCGAATAAATTATACTTTTACCAGTCACAAATAATACTTGCGTAGCGTGCATATAATTACAGCGTGAAAGAAGAGTAACCATATTATTTTGTTTTCTTCTTTCAATGATATTAGATATTTATATTTAATAAATAAATATTACTTATTATTAAAATAATACTTATATAATATATACCTATTATAAATACTTACAATAAATATTTATATTTATATTTATTTATAAATATAATTATAATTATAATAATTTATATTTATTTATAAATATAAATATATATACCAACAATCATTCAAATTATTACAGATAATTAATTTCAGTTTTTTTTTTTTAGTTTTAAACATTATGAATTTATAAATAAATAAAAATTTATTTTTATGAAATTGCAAATATGAATAATAGATTGATGATACTGTGTAAGATAAAAATATTGATTCTAATAAAAAAATACTTGCCTATTAATAGAAAAGTACATTAAACTGAATAATTGTTGTTGTCTGTTGTCTGACTCGTTGCTAAGAGTAACAGATTAAACAGATTACATGTTTAATAATGATGACTGTTTCAGCGATAACGTCATTGACACCTTATTGCTATACCTTCAATTTATTCCATATCTAATAAGGAATACATAATTCGCATTTTTCCTTTATTAATATTAATGTCAATGACAAAGAATGTTTATATTATTGATCAAATGAATATAAACTTAAAGCATTGTCTTTTTATTCCTAATATATGTAAATTAAGGAAATTCATCAAAGAATGATTTCTAATACAATCAATTTAATTTTCAAATTTGTAACATGTTTGTTTCAACTAATATTTAATTGCAAAATACTATTAGTTGGTTTTAAATTCTGGATAATAATTAGCGTTACCATATTAAAAAAAAAAAAAAAAAAGAGATTAAATAGAATGGTGGTGGGAGAAAGTAGGATATAAGATTAATGATTAGGTTAGGTTTAAGGTGTGTCAACGTATCTCAAGCATAACCCTTGTCACGTGACTTGGGTGACGTGTTGACTGGCAGTGGGGGTTATGTTATTTTACATGAGAGGGATTTCTCTTAGCAACGCTGAATATAATGTAATACAAACAAACCAAACAATTTTTCATCTCAGGAAGTCCAACATATCGACTAGGTAACGACTTTCCACGTCAGGGAAGCCAACATTATAATTCATAACAAGAAAAAGTACGATTATGTTCTGAAATATTAAGTTTTTTTTATTTTACAATTATATTGTCGATACAAAAATTTATTTGTCTTTAAATAAAAAATTAATTCTCGTGGTATCTATATATAAATTATAATTTTTCTAATTAATTCTAAAATATATCGAAAATTGTGACGCGTAAGATCGAGCTTCGAGATATCGATTTAAAATCAGCATCTGTAGTTTAAAGTGATTATATATTGTCATACATCGAAGAGATTTAACGAACACCGATTTTATATTTCAACAATTAGCAACGATGATTTATTTTCATTTTGATCATTTAAAAATTAAGAAGATTTAAAGTGACTAGTTACTAAATGATTTGTGAAAGGTTATTTCATTTCTTTTTCTCTCTTTCTCTTTTGTCTATCTCCTTTTATCATTTTCTACCTCTCTTCTCATATATCTGTTTATTTTGCGTATACAAATTTATTATTAAAAATGTCTTATTTTATTTTAATAAATTTCAAACGCATACATTTATACTGTTATAATATTTAGAATAATTGTTGCTAATTATTGTTTTATGATTTTCTTTAATAATAATATAATTAAGTTAATTTTATTTTGTGTACATTATTAGGGAACATTATTATTTATAATATATGGCAGAAGATACAGAAATATATTGTGGCTTTTTGGATGCTAAGTTGTCAGGAACAAGATGTATAACACAAAAAGTGAGAAAAAGATCATTAGCACCATGGAAAGTTTGGAAAAGACATTGGTGTATGGTGAAAAAATTGGGACCAGGTTTAGAAATACAATTAGACCATGGTATAAGCAGTGGTGGGATTTCTCAAAATGAAAAGGACAATTCTATTATAGTACCTTACGATGCTATTGTATATCGTACTCAATCCAAATCTAAACAGTTTGCATTTGGCATATTTTTAAATAAAGAAAGAAAACCATTATTGTATCTATCTGGTTGCTCTGAAACAGAGACACAACGTTGGATGTCAAATATTCGTCAATTATTAAAACCAAGAAGACATAGATTCATGGATGGGTCCTATAATATTTCTATAATAGATAACGCACATTCCAGATTGGCTGGTTTAACTGGTACTTATTGTATTTTAAATTTATTAATTCTAATTTGGTGGCATTACTTACATTTTTACATATAATGTATTAAAATCATTTCTAATTTTCTATAGGTTTATATGGAGATTTAGTAGCCAGTCAAATAGGAGTATTTATCAAAGATATTCATTCTGGTGAAATAGTACTACATCTAGAATGGAAAGAAATGAAAGAATTTCATTTAACTACAGCAGGTCGTCCAGAAGATGTTAAACGTATATGTGTAATTCATACCACTAAAGAGTTCCGTGCTGGAGTCGGGGAACTTCATGTATTTTGTTTAAAGGCTAGTAAATTGTTACAAGACTTAGTAACTCAGGGCCGTGGTCCAAGACACAGACATATCGATCAGAGGCCTTTAAGTTTAAGCGAAGGTGATCTTAGAATATTAGGACATTGTGAAGAAAGTACAACAACTTTTCCAGCAATAAAGAGCAAAATTGCATTTAGTCTTATTAATGCAGGATTGGGATTACTTTTATCTTCTCGTTCAGGAAATGATGTCAAATCGTTAAATGATATGACAAACAGTCACAGTCTTGATAAAGTTGTGAATGGGAAGAAACCTATTCTCAATAGAGTTTTCGATAATATTTATCAAGAAAAAACATCTAGTATTCCTGATATTGTATCTAGTATTAAAGATTTAGATGATACTTCATCAAATAGAAGAGTTTCCAATGTTTCTGTGGCTTCCGGAGTTTATGAAGAAATTATTGATAATACTAATTGTTCCAGAATTGTATCAGTAACTTCTAATTTTTATGAAGATCCAGAAGAACTTATTTTTAGTTCTCATGGTCTTCAATTGCAACCACCACCGTTACCACCTCGACAACGGTGTGGATCTGCATCTACTAGGAATGGCAGGTTCGTTTCATTAAACAGTATTTTATTTCTGGAATACTTTTATTATATCAATTTAATTTTATACATTAATCTTTTGCAGTATTAGCGAAGATGGTTTAGATTCTGAAGGAGATACTAGATCTGTTACACCAAATGACATCACACCACTTTCTGAATATAAAATAATGCATCCACAGCAAGCAATAGTAGATCATTCTGAATACGTTCCAATGTCACCTAGACCAAAAGTCATCAATTCTTATCATCTTGAAGTACAACATTCTTCACAAGATGAAATTTACATGGTCATGCAGTAATAGCAATGAACATAAGTTGCCATTCATTTTCAGCATGATTATATTCAAATTTACTTGTCTTTCAAGTTATTTGCAAATACTTAATATGAGTGATAGAAATGCTTTACGAATGTTTTCAATATTTCTTATAAATATATCTTTCTTATGTTAGCTTTCTAAAAATAGTTTGAGCTTTGTATTGTTTTTGTATACAATGCTTAATGTTATCGTATAAAATTTGATGTATTTTCTAATTGGAAGCAGGGTTTATTATTGAAGTATAAATATTTTCATTTATAATTTGAAGGGTATAATAATATTGAATTTTATCTATATACATTTCTATTACAAGCTATTTATAATTATTAGCATGAAAATTTAGATTAACGTTATATTTTGAGTGTATGTCAATTTTATATTTAAGACAAATAAAATTGTGATGATCTCTTTATAGAACATTATATATAATATTATATTCAAAGTGTATAACTTTTGGTAAATGATTATCAGTCCAAAAGTAATATAAATCTTCCTAGATAATCATTAGCATAATGACTTTTATTAATTTTTATAAATAACTTAAAATTTGTATGATATAAAAAATTATTAAATCGATTATTTAATAATCTTTGCTTACGTCAAGTTTATATTTTATCTGTGTTATGAATACGTTATAAATTCGTGACAATTCCAAATAAGAAAATATTCATTTGGATCAAGGGAATAAGAAATTATACAATTTATAATAATCTTCATTAATTGCTTCGATGTGATACTTGTAAAATAAAAAAGAATTTGTATTATCCATTTTTCCGTATTGATTGTATAAACTATTGTTGCTTATTATAAATTTATATGTAATAGTAGATGATAAAAAAAAAAAAAGATATTTTCAACTGCCTTTGTTGCGTGCCTAATTGTTCGTTCAGTATACTTCATAAGGTGTAAATTATATTTAAAAAGAAAAGAAAAAAAAATAAGGTTTATTGTATCTTGAATGTATTTTTATTTAACAAATTTATGAACAAAAAATGAACCAACATTTTTTGATAAAAGTAATGCGTATACAAGTATAAGAAAGATGCATGTACAACATAAACATTTTGTAAGAATTGTAATACGTACTTTTATTAAGAAAAATATGATATATTGTAAAAAAAAGGAAACCATTTTTAAAGTCAATATTTGAAACTAAGCAAGGGAAAGAAAGAATTATGCATAGTTTTATGTCAACATTAAATAAAATTGATTATAATACTCATTTGTAATCCGATTAAAATATGCTAGGAGTTAGATCTCTCTTTCTTTTGCCATCTTCAAAATTACGAGCTTTAATTTCAAACATAAATCTATTATTTATATATTCATCTGCAATTTCTGGCATTAGCGGATCATCGACATTAGGATGTAAAAGTAATAATTTAATAGCAATTAAAATATCAGCTAATTTTAAAGTTGGTTTCCAAGCACCATTAGGTGGCATTCTTAATAAATCTAAACATATGCGACCATTGTTATCAATATTTGGATGATAAACTGGCGTGCGAAATTTTATATGTGGTGGCTGAAATGGATATCGAAATGGCAAATCGAGATCTAACTCAAGAACATTTGCTTCATAAGCACATCCAGGTGGACCAACGATAGTAACTATTATACCATCATCGGTACCTTCTTTTCTAAAACAAAACATTCCTTCTGGTGGTTGATTCATTAAAAATGCTATTTCTTTTCTTATTCTGAATGGTCGCTGCATTTTCTGTGTATATCTGTAAACAATTAATAATATATTTATAAATAATATTTTTTAATATTTATGAGATGTTTATTCTTTTTTTTTTCAATTTTCACAATAAACTGTTATTCTTCATGAATATTATTTATACAGAATGTGTTTGATAATTTGTCGAGTACGCATACACACTTAATTCAATTTAATTCAAATATTTTGGAAAACATATTTAATATTTTTACAGTTATCTTTAATGATATTTTTTGTATCTATTGTTTTCAACAAATTATATTTCACTGATTATTTAGATCACTTACTTAAATCTTCTATTTAAACACAAACAATTTTTAAGTATATTATTTCAATTTAAATCTACTTTGGAATTAAGATTCTTCTGTATCACGTAAATTACACGTTACTTATTTCATGCACTGTATAATTCTAACGAACCGATTTCGAATTTCAGTTTACTAGGGATGCTCAGGACCGTATTATAAGGGTTTATACGACAGATACCTTTCACTTGTGGCGCACATCAATTTATGACACAATTAAATTACTTTGATATGTTTTACATTATTTTTTTATTATTATTTCGATTCTTTTTTATTATTTTGTTTTAATTTCTTCTATTTTTGGTGAAATACATATACAAAAAATGTTCGCAATTAATCAGAACAAACGAGTAAAAGACGGCACTGCAATATTAATTCGTATTTTTGTCGCATCATAACTTAGGCGCTATTGTAGTTAGCGCCAAAATTTCTGTTTATTATCTCTTTCTTTCTTGACTTTAATTATAAGTAGTTTTTCTACTATATCGACATTGGTGTGTCCGCCAACTAACGACATTAAAGCGACATCTGTTTATAAGATATTAATTGTATTAGTAAGCATTTTGGGCGTTGACCATAAACTATTTCACTCTTGCTTTATTTAATGAATGGTTAAGTTTTGCTGTTACTTTGTTATAATAATTTTATCAATGCTATTATATACTTAGTGCGGTATTTCTGTGATTTTTATCACGTTCACGTGATATAAATTAAATCATAAACATTTCATGAATTACTTTTCAAAGGTTATATGATTATAAACGTTAATTATTATTTTTATAGAATGGTATATTGCCATGATAAATATTAAAGTGATTTAAATATTTATCTATTTTAGAAATATGTGGTATTTTCTTCTATTGTTAATTGTGCTCGGTGGAGAATGTCAAGAATCCACAGAAACAACTCGATCACCATGGCTAAGTGGAAACAAAAATGAAAATATGATTATAAAAGAAGCGTAAGTATTCATAACTATTATGAGTCCCATATAATATTATTATTATGTTAATATGGTTATAACGTTTTTATTTTTAGTACATATTTTGTGGTAGCATCACGTATGGTACGTCCAGGTCAGATTTACAGAGTACCTGTAAGTGTTTTACATAGCACATTACCAATAGTTGTACGTTCTTCTATACAACGCAATGGGGTAGAAATTGCAACTGATAATCAGGTAGTTAAAGAAGGTATACCAGAAACATTGTTAATGCGTATGCCACCAACTTCTGTCCAAGGGGATTATAATCTACGCATAGAAGGATTTTACAATAGTTTGACAGGAGGTCAAGCATTTTTGAATGAAACTAAACTGATATTTTCACAAAGATCTATGACAATTTTCATTCAGTTAGATAAACCAGTATACATGCAAGGAGAGACAGTACGATTTAGAGCTGTGCCCATTGACACCGAATTGAAAGCTTTTAATAGTCCTATTGATGTTTATATGTTAGATCCACATAGACGAATTATGAGACGTTGGTTGAGCAGACAAAGTAATTTAGGAACTGTCTCTTTATCGTATCAGATGTCAGATCAACCAGTTTTTGGAGAATGGATTATACAAGTTATAGCTCAAGGACAAGTTGAAGAGAAAACATTTTTCGTAGAAGAATATTATCAAACACGTTTTGAAGTTAATGTCACAATGCCAGCATTTTTTTTCGAAAATGATCCTTATATTCATGGTATTGTTCAAGCAAATTATACCTCTGGGGCACCTGTAAGAGGAAATTTAACCTTAAAAGCATCTTTTAAACCTATAAGTAAAACTGGAAGTTCAACAACGTACATTGAACCTGTAGAAAGATATTTTAATTTTAATGAATATTATCCTTCATGGTTTAGACAACCAAATGCTTATGAAGAGAAAGTACCTGTAATGAGATTTTTTAATGGAACATATCATTTTCAATATCCAATGGGAGAATTACTTAATATTGCTCCATCTTTGGATGGTATGGAAGTGACCATTGTCGCAACTGTTGGAGAAAGATTTTTAGATGAAGTTGTCGTTGGTTATTCTATGGCTAGAATATTCAATTCGACAATAAAAGTAAGTTTTCTAGGTGGTAGTCCGCAAGTGTTCAAGCCAGCTATGCCTTTTACTTTGCATTTAGTTGCATCATTTCATGACAATTCAGCATTACGACCTTCTCAACTTAGAGGAGCAAGAATGGAAATACGTGGAGAAGTTGAAGTAAAGTCTGGTGGACGAAGATCTTTAGATTCGCAAATTTTAATACCTTCCCCTGAAAATGAAGGTATTTGGTCAACTAAAATAGATCTCAGACAACAAATAGGATACCCAAACAATGTTGAACAAACTCAACAATTGCTTAATGATATAACATCTATGAAAATATCAGCTTATTTTACCGATAGTGAAGGATTTAGAGCTCAATCTGAATTATTACTATTCGCACATGAATCTCCTAATCAGAAACATATTAAAATAATAACGTCAACTGAAAAAGCTAAAGTTGGAGAATACATAATCTTTCACGTACAAACAAATTTCCATATAGATTATTTCAATTATATTGTCATGGCCAAAGGAACGATACTTCTAAGTGGACAAGAATATATGCAACATAATATAAAAACTTTTGCGGTTCCACTTAGTCCCGAAATGGCACCTGTTGCAACAGCTGTTGTTTATTATATTGGACATTATGGGGATGTTGTTGCAGATTCTTTAACTTTCCCTGTAAATGGAATCTCTCGTAATAATTTTACGGTATTTATTAATAACAAAAAAGCACGTACAGGTGAAAACGTGGAAGTTGCAATTTATGGAGAACCAGGAGCATATATTGCATTATCGGGTATTGATAGATCTTTTTACACTATGCAAGCTGGTAATGAATTGACTTATGCAAATGTTATATCTAAAATGGCACACTTTGATGAAGACACCAATGGAACTTATTCTCATACTTGGTTACTTCACGGTGGAGATCCCGATGAAATGGTTTATTTTCCATCCTCTACATTTGGGGTAGACGTAAATCGTACTTTTGAGTACATTGGACTAGTTGTTTTTACAGATGCAATAATTCATAGACGAGCAGATCATTGTAATAGAACTCAAGGATATGGAGAGTGCCTTTCAGGGCGTTGTTACAGATTAGATAAAAAGTGTGATGGTGTTTTTGATTGTGAGGATGGTACAGATGAAGCACGCTGTGTACATGGCAATGCAACAGATATTTTAGAGTTTAGAAAGTGGCGTTTCAATAGAATTCAAAGACAATACGAAAATGTTTGGCTATGGAAAGATATAAATATAGGACCACATGGCAGACAAATTTTTAATATAGATGTTCCACGCAGACCAGTTCATTGGATGGTCACAGCCTTTGGTATGTCACCTAGCAAAGGTTTTGGAATGTTACCTAAAGCATTGGAATATACAGGAATTCTGCCATTTTATATCAATGTAGAAATGCCAACACATAGTAAGCAAGGCGAACAAATTGGCATAAGAGTATCTGTCTTTAATTATATGCGTGGAGATATCGAAGCTACAGTTGTTTTAACAGGATCTAAGGATTACAAATTTGTTCATGTTGAGGATAATGGTATTGTTCAATCATATAAACCTCGAACGTCATTTGGAGAACATCAATTCTTTTTATGGATACGTGCTCAAGATGCAACTGTTGTATATCTACCTATTGTTCCCGTAAGATTAGGCGATATTAAAATACATATTTATGCGATGACATTAATAGGACGTGATTCAGTTACACGCACCTTACATGTGGAAGCTGATGGCCTACCTCAACACAGGCATCAATCTATTCTTCTTGATTTGAGTAACAGAGCATATGTATTCCAATATATGCACGTTAATATTACGGAAACACCAATCATATCTTATGACGAAAATCGTTATTATGTATTTGGATCAAATAAGGCAACTATAAGTGTAGTTGGTGATGTAGTTGGGCCTATATTTCCAACCATGCCTGTCAATGCTACAAGTCTTATAGATCTTCCTATGGATTGTGCCGAACAAAATATGTTTAGTTTTGCTGCTAATATGTATACAACAATGTATATGCGTTTAGTAAATCAACGTAATAGAACACAAGAGAAGCAAAGTTTTTATTACATGAACATTGGATATCAACGTCAACTTTCATTTATGAATCCTGATGGATCTTTCAGTCTTTTCCGTAGTGATTGGAATCAATCTGCATCTAGTGTATGGCTTACTGCCTATTGTGCACGCATCTTTCAAGAAGCAAGCTTTTATGAATGGGAAAACTATCTGTATATAGATCCTGATGTAATCACACAAGCTGTTTCTTGGGTATTAAAACATCAAACTCCAGAGGGATCATTTTATGAAGTTACATGGTTACCGGATCGAAAAATGAATAGTTCTCTTAATTATGAAAATGATTTTATAAGATTCAGAAATGTTAGTCTTACTGCTCATGTACTTATTACATTGGAAACTGTAAGAGACTTAACAGGTGGTCTGGGTTCTCAAGTTGCTTTAGCTTCTGCTAAAGCTGTTAAGTGGTTGGAGAGAAATATGAAACTTTTAGAAGAAAAAGGCAAACCATACGAGGTTGCTATCGTAGCATATGCATTATTAATGGCAAAAGCTTCTACTGCAGAACAAGCATTTAATATATTGACTAGACATGCACGTAGAGAAGGTGGTTTGACGTATTGGGGTAGAGAAGCTGTTCCACCACCACCACAAAAATTAGAAAACCAAAAACCATTCCTTTTACCACGTTTACCTTATAAATATGATGCAGAAAATATTGAAACAACGGCATATGCTCTTCTCGTTTATGTTGCAAGACAGGAAGTTATGATAGAACCAATAGTAAAATGGTTGAATGCACAGAGATTAACTGATGGAGGATGGGCTTCTACACAGGACAGTGCATGGGCTATGAAAGCTTTAATGGATTATACTGTTAGATCAAGAATTAGGGATGTTAGTTCGTTAAATGTAACTATTGAAGCTACAGCTTTACCAGGAACGCCAAAAATTTTATCTGTGAATCCACAGAATCTTGCAAGACTTCAATCTATTGAGGTATGTTTATT